CCTCTCCGCGCCTGACAGGCTGGGCTGGGGGAGGGGAGGGCAGGCTCCCCCCTACACCTCCTTCCCCACAATAGAGAAAAGAATCTGCTCCTTGACTCCAGAGGCCCCCAAGTGCTGGTCTGGCTATGAGCAAGTGTGTGACCAGTTCTGCGGGTGGGTTCTTTCTGTTTCCCTTTCCTACCATTTCCATGGTGACCACTGGCCCAGGAACGGCACACCTAACCTCGGGCAGAAAAAGGAACACAGCTCCGGGACTGCAGGAGCAGATCTGTACGTTTTTTAAAATGCCTACAAATCCCCTCCCTTAGCCACTGCTCTCTACAACCTCCAGCATCTGAAGTTGAATATTCAAACTCAGGAGACACGAGTCCCTCTCACTCTTGGAAACGGGGAGGGTCTGACATCCTCAAAATATTTCAAAGGAAAACAAAAGTGCCAGAGAAAACAAATGTCTCAAAGGCAAGATACTCCTTTAAAGTCTCACCATAGTCTCTTGCCACGTTCGCCGAGGTCTTACATCCCTCCAATTCTTCTACTTAATGCAGCTAGAGATAATCCTAGAGCACAGATCTGAGCTCTCACTTAAAATGCAGTCCGCTCCTCAGCCAGACCCAGGAGGCCCCGCACCCTGTGCTCACCCTCATCTCTGCCGAGCCCCCACGCCCGCACACGGGAGGCTCCACGTGCTTCCGGCCCACTGCTTCCACACTGCTGCTCTCCCAGTGCCCTCCCTGCCCTGTCGTCAAGGCCAACACTTGCCTGTCCATGCTCGGATCAGGGGTCCACCGTGGTCCTCCTGACACCGCCTCGGCTGTCCCCTCCACCCTCCACACTTGCCCCACAGCCTTCCTAACAGGCTGGGCACTTGGGTACACTCTTGTCTCCCCTATGTGTTGAGTCCGTAAACCTCTGGAGACCCAAGTCTGGGTCTCATTTGTTTCTGAATTTGTAGCACGTGACACATGGTGCAGAGCACACATCAGGAGATTAATAGATGTTCCAGGAATGAACAGGTGGATGATAGTCTTAATGAAGTCATTGGGTCTGTCTCCTTACAGCATTCTCCGGAGTGTTCCAAACGCTATTTTATGTTAAAATAACTCAGAGCAGGGAGTAGAGGATGGGGAGTTGTTTCCTGGGTTCAGAGTTTCACTTTGGGAAGATGGGAATGTTCTGGGGAAGGATGGTGGTGACGGTTGCACAACACGTGCACACAATGTCATGGAACTGTACCCTTAAACATGGTTGAGATGGTAAATTTTATGTCACATACATTTTATCACAATTAAAAAAGAAACAATTTAGAATAAAGAATACCAGGAGACTACTGACTACAGGGACAGCCCAAAAATCTGCTCCCTGAAAGGACTGAGAAAAAAGCACTTGGACAGAAACCAAAGCTGTAAGGACATTGCTCTTCTTATTTTAAAATGCAGCCCCAAACCCAGGAAAACAACTCCAGGGTCAGACTTAGTATCTGGCTGTACCTGAAAGTTCCAGCTCCAACTGCAATGCCCAGCACATGGTAGGCTCTCTAGATATTTCCTGAATGTTCTTACAATCATTTGAATCAGAGGCTTAAGAAAGCATTCTGGTGCACAGGCCTCTCTCCTGGAACAGCGCAGAAGTGGTGAGATTCGACCTCCATATGGGACCCCCCCCCCAGATGGATAAGATAGCCTCTGCCCAGAAACTCCACCAAATGCCGGGCTCATCCATCTCCTGCCGGAGACAGAGCTCCCTGCTGCCCCGCCACCTCCGCGTGCAGGCTCCCCTTCCCGAGTGGAAGCCACCCCTGGCCCATCCCTACCCTGCTCTTCATGTAACCCCTCTGCTTTCTCTCGAGGCAAAAAGCTAATTCCCCACAGCGAGTCTTTCCTCTTTGCAGCTAAGAGCACTGGACCTGAAGCCATTAAACTTGCGGGTTCCGGAGGTTCTGTAGAGCGCTTTTCTCTTTTGAAGGGTCTCTGTGCTAATCAGAAACAGGCCCAGCCGCCGCCATCACCCATCACCAGGAGGCAGGGGGCAAACACACACACACACACAGACAAGAAAATCAAAACCAAACGGCCCTGAATCCTACCCTTCATGCCATAGGAGGTGAGGTGAATGATGGCGCCACAGAGATGGCGTTCACACAAGGGCCAGGAGGATGCCAGGAGGCCGCCAGGAGGCCGCCTGGCTCTCCCAGCTGCCCCCAGAACCAATCATCAGTGTCAGCCATTTGCATTGTCATGTTAAAATGCACCCACAACAGCCCAGATTCTTCACAAGTTTGACACTCCACAGTCCTCTCCCCCCCAAAAAAAGCCCTAACTAGGGTTACTTAGAACCACTCTTATTCAGAGGTAGTGTTTCCTTAGAGGGACTTAGGGACTCTATAAAGACAGTTATATTTCTTTTAAAAATAGAGGAAATGGCCACACTCCTGTGTGTCCATGTAGAGCTCTCTGCAAACCACCTATTCACAGAAGTACCGAAGAGTGTTAAACGCTTCATGACCTACAGAAGTCACAGGAAGAATCATCTGGAATTCAGAGACCCATCACCTACTGGCCCACCCTGTCAGCCATACTCCTTCCACTGTGGCTGAAGGCACAGTTAGTAGGAGGATTTGACACACCAGGTGTCCCTGAAGTCCTTATACTGAGCAGGAAAGAGCAGGAAAGAGCTGGACCAGACTCCCACGTTTATCTGGTGTCTTGGCGGGGGTAGCCAACATATGACTCATTATACAACACCTGTCAGGAACTTCCGCACCTTCTGATCAGGAAAATGGGGCGTGAGAGGATGGCCGTGTCCCAGGTCTCGGGTGAGTCCCTGGGAAGTGCCCCACCAAGTGAGGGTCCTTGGCTTCACACAGGAAACATTCAAGAGCGAGAAGAATTCAAGGCAAGCCATAGTTGAGTAAAAGTAGATTTATGCAGAGAGATGCACACTCCATAGACAGAGTGTAGGCTGTCTTAGAGAGCGAGAGAGAGTCAGAGGCTTGGGATAACGCACTCCATAGGCAGAAGGCAGGCTACCTCGAGAGGCGAGAGGCGGCGGCCTCAGAGCATGGGGTTGTCTAGGAAAATGAGATTGGCCACGAGGTGTGAGGATGGTCGGGTTTTAGGGGCCCAGTAAAATCATATGCTAACAAGTGGGAGGATTCTTCCAACTACTTTAGGGGAAGGGGTGGGGATTCCCAGGAATTGGGCCACTGACCACTTTGCGACATTTTAAGGTCAATCTCAGAACTGTCATGGAGCCTGTGGGAGTGCCATTTACCACGCTAATACATTACAGTGAGCATATAATGAAGCTCAAGGTCTACTAGAAGTCAGATCTCCTATCATCTTGGGCCTCAAGGTCTACTGGGAGTTGAATCTTCAATTGTTATGTCATTCTTTTAAAGGTTGTGCCCTGTCCCCTTTCCTCCTGTCTCGCTGGTTCAACTGCGAGCCCCGCATTAAGTGTGCAGCTTACTCAAGGGAATGAACAGGGATGGGTGCAGACCATGCCAGGCCCAGGGATTTTTGGCTCCTGGAGAGAGGACCAACTCCAGCAAACACACAAGAAAAGCAGGGGAGAAGGACCCTGGATGCCAGCTGGGATGCAGAAAGAGAAAGAAACAAAATCCTATGATTGGCCCATAGGATGCATCTTTCCTGAACTTCTCTGGTCCCTTTCCATAGACTATGCCATTCTACTTACTAGTAATTCTGATATGACCTAATAGAGCTGAAACTATTTCTTCCCAAACAAATATTTTTTGAAAACCAATGCCAATGTCTCACAGGGAATAAACAGTGAGGTGGAATTTCTCAGAATAAAATTTCACCGCTTGAAATAAAATCACGTTTCCATGCTTATGGCTCTCCCTTTTAACTGCAGACAGGAAGAGAAAGCAATCAGAACCAGAGCAAACAAAAAGAGGCTTTTGAGGAAACACTAATACAGTGAAAGAGACCTCCAAACTTGGATTGTGACCTCCTTGTTATTCTTAAATCATGGCTGGACTCTGACTTTCTACACTTTGCCACAAAAGTATACCTTCTAATTCTTGTTACTTTTTTTTTCCAAATCATTACTTGACAGCATCTCAAAGGATTTCAGCCAATGGAAATTTGCCCTTGGCTGGCATTTGTAGAGGGAGCCACCTAAGACCTCAAAATAAAAGGGCAGCCCTGCCTCCAATTTATTTCCCTCTTCCAAGTTCCCTGTTCCACGCCTCTGTGTTCATGTCATCACCTCAGCTGAGTCATCCAACATCATCATGTTCCCAGCACAGAAGACCCACCAACCACCCAAAGTGAATGAGGCCCAACACTAGGTTCTGAGACCTGGAAAGGAAATGAGTCTCAACCTTCTAAGATTATTTCGGGCCAGTACTCATTTTTCGGTGGAACTAAACAATGTTAACTAGGATTTCATCCCTTCTCAAAATTGTAGCAGGGAAAGGGAAAAAAAAAAAACGAATCAGAACCCAGGAACTTTGTAATTCACATATATAACCACTCTATAGGTTCACATATAATATGCACATAGATTTTAGCTATATGCAGCCTATATTCCAGGGATGTAGGATTACATCATTGACATTTTTAACGTTAACATAGGTTATGCCTTTTACAAAAACATCACTAGAAACTGAAGCTCCATTCCTGGATTTACCTATGTATGTCACCCTATCCTGCTTCCCTTCTCTGCTAAAATATGCTGCAGTCTGGAGGCTGATTGGCCCTGAGTTGTAATGGAGTATGTAGCCTTTCACCTCTGGGTCACAATACTGAATGAGGGCCATATCAGCAGCATCTGAAAGCAGTTACTGTACCATCTACGGCCTTGCTTAAGACAAAAGGCACTGTTCTAGCTTTTCATCCTTGTGGGAAGGGCAACAAGGAATGTGCAATGGGCCCCCAAAAGAAATGCCCAATTAGCCAAAGTCCATGAGAATGGCTTGAGGGACCCTTTGCAAGAAAAGTTTAGGAGCTTTATGGTCTGATGGCTGTGGCTCCTCATCTGTGGGCAGTCGTCAGGTATGTTATGCTATCATAAAACTCCCTTTCCTCAACCTGCAAAGTATCAGACACCTGTAAAAAAAAAAAAAAGAAAGAAAGAAAGAAAGAAAAAAAACAGGTATTTCAATAATCCCTAAAATCCCACAAGCTCAAAGTAGCACTGCTCCAGAAAAGGGCTGGAAGGACTCAGGCTCTGACCAGAGCTCGGTGGTGACACTGATCCAGAGTCCAGGGCCTAGAACAGTGACTGGCACAGAGCAGATGCTGTACGCATAGGTGCTGAGTGGAAGGGGAAAAAAGTTTGCTGGCCTCTCTTTCTTTCACCTATTAAATCAATTTAAGACAGACTACCCAATAGCTAGCCATGACACTCCTTAAAGGGAGGCTGTGAGAAAGAAGGGAAAAGTTGCAAAGGCCTACTACAGTAACTTCAAGAAAGCAGCTATATAAATATAAGGTTTTATTAACTTACCTGATCTTTCAAAGGGTCCATTTGGCCTAATGCCAAAAAAGCAATACACACAAAATGTGTCGGCAAATTTGGAAAAGTGATGTTGCCATTGAACATGCTGCTGTCAAGTACCCAAGAGCTAATGAGTCATTTACTTTTGGATTTTCCTGCAAAATGCACAATGCAATGATAGTAACGCATTAATAACTGTTCTGCGGGGAACCATTTCATGTGGTGTCCACAAAGATTTATTTGCCAACTTCATATATTTATCCAGTGATGATAACCGCTGGTATAAGACTTTTCAAATGATTACAGGCACAAATAAAACAATTGCTCTGCAATGGTGCCCGCAGAACCGAGTCACGTGGGTCCCACCCACGACACATGCCGCCCCACAGCAAGCGCTGGGGGAGGAGCTGAAGGGCTCCTGGCCGCCATGGCCAGTCCTCTGCTGAGAAGGTAAGTGGAAGAGAAAAGAGAAGAAGGATAGGAGGGCATTCCTGCATCCCTTCACAGCCACTCATCTGACCCATTTCTGCAGTATTTTCCCCTCTCCCCCGAGGGACTGTAATGGGGTTCACAGGAAGGCAGCACAGCCCAGGGGGTGAGGAGGAGGTAAGGACACTGTTCCAGACACCTAACTTCACTGAGGTTTCTCACCTATAAAGTGGGGGCAATAACCGTTCCCCAGTCCCAGCGTGGTTGTGAGGGTTCAACGTGATACTGTGCATAATGTGCTTAGAAGCATCAGGTGGTTAGATGACCCATAATGTTACCACTTTTACCCTTCGGGAGCCCTTACTGGATGCAGTCTTCCCTGATCAGGCAGCCCACAGGGAAATCTCGTCCCTCAAACATATCTCTTGTGACACAGTGTGTGCTCTGTGTGTGTGTGGTAAAATACACAGTATTTATCATTTTAAGCATTTTTAGGTATACAGTTTGGTAGCATTAAGTACATTCTCACAGTTGTGCAATCATCACCATCATCCATCTTCAGAACTTTCTTTCATCTTCCCAAACTGAAACTCCTTACTCATTAAGCAAGAACTCTCCATGCTCTCTTCCCTTAGCCCCTGGCAACCACTATTCTGTCTCGATGAACTTGACAACTTTAGGCATCTCATAAAAGTGGGATATTCCAGCATTTGTCCTTTTGTAACTGGCTTATTTCCACTTAGTGTAATGTCCTCAAGGTTCATCCATGTTGTAGTATGTATCAGAATGTCCTTCCTTTTTAAGGCTGAATAATATTCCACTGTGTGCATATACCATATTTTGTGTATCCACTCGTCCATTGATGGACACTTGGGTTGCTCTTATAAATAATGCTGTTATGAATGTGGGTGTTATATTGCTATCTGGATGTATTACATAGTATCATTTGTTAAAACTGGTATAGAAATCTAACATTGTCATTGAACCCTTTATGAAGGCAATGTGGTTGGCTTCCCTCTTTGGACACCTTATATCTGGCAATACTGCATTTCTCAGGGGTCGGGCAGACCCTCAAGGCTTCTTCTTCCTTTATGAGATTCCTTGGAATGCCTCACCTTCCTCAACCTTTGCTCACCAATCCCTACTCATTGTATTAGCCTCAACTCAGCTGTTATCTCTTCTAGGAAACCATCTCATCCCACTCCACATCCTGCCATGACATTTCCTTAAGGGGTGCTGTGAAAAGGAAGTGGTAACATCTAGTACAGTGGCCTGGAGCAGTGGAGGCTGCTCTGCCATGTGCCCCCAACTCCACACTCAGCACTTCGCTTCCGCACCCACCCCACCCACCAGACTGTGAGGGACCCAAGGGCAGGACTGTGTCTTAACCATCTTTCTATCTTCAGCACCAAGTCCAGGACCACATACCTATATGGTAAAGGCCAAAGAAATGTCAGACAGGCAGATGAATAGATAGATGGACAGAGAGATGGATGATGAGAGAATGAAAAATGAATAAACTGAATATTAATTATGTGGAATGGATTCTGGAATCAAGAGATCACCATCTAGATATGTAAGTTTTACTTTTCTGTAAGATGGCAGTTTGGATATAAACATTTAATGAGTGCCTACTATATGCCAGACAAAACATGCCTATGAAGCAATAATTTTTCTGATGGTTAGGTTTATTTTTTTATTTTTTAAATGCATTTTTAATTGAAGTATAGTTGCTGTACAATATTATATGTTACAGATGTATAATATAACGATTCATAATCTTAAAGGTTATATTCCATTTATAGTTATTATAAAGTATTGGCTATATTCCGCATGTTGTATAATATATCCTGTAGCTTATTTTATACCTAATAGTTTGTACCTTTTAATCCTTTACCCCTATCTTGCCCCTCCCCCCTTCCCTCGCCCTACTGGTAACCATTAGTTTGTTCTCTGTATCTGGAAGTCTGCTTTTTTTCTGTCATATTCACTAGTTTGTTATATTTTTTAGATTCCACATGCAAGTGATACAATATAGTATTTGTCTTTCTCTGACTTTTTTCATTTAGCATAATGCCCTCTAACCCCATCCATGTTGCTGCAAATGGCAAAATGTCATTCTTTTCTATGACTGAGTGGTATCCATTGTATATACATACCACATCTTATCTATTCATCTGTTGATGGACACTTAGGTTGCTTCCATATCGTAGCTATTGTAAATAATGCTGCTATGAACATTGGGATGCATGTATCTTTTCAAATTAGTGTTTTTTTAACATATATCTAGGAGTGGAATTGCTAGGTCATATGGTAACTCTGTTTTTAGTTTTCTGAGAAACCTCCACAGTTTTCCACAGTGGCTGCACCAATTCCCACTAAGACTGTACAAGGGTTCCCTTTCCTCAACATCCTCGCCAACATTTATTATTTGTGTTCTTTTTGATGATAGTCATTCTGACAGGTGTGAGGTCATTGTTTTGACTTGCATTTCCTAATGATTAGTGATGTTGAGTATCTTTTCATCTGCTTGTTGATCATCTGCATGTCCTCTTTGGAAAAATGACTACTCAGTTCTCTATGAAGCAACTATTAACACCATCATGTAAGTGAGGAAACTGAGGCAGAAAGCAGTAAGTTCTTCAAGTTCAAGAGCTGATAAATGACAAAGATTCAAACCCAGATGGTCTGGCACCTAGAACCACGCTTTTAGTTACAAAAGTAATGCAATGCCACATAACCTCTAAGGTTCCTTCTATGCTCTTGTCCTATGATTATAAAATGCTAATGATTAAAAAGGATATTCTGAAGTTTCCAGGAGTAAAGGTGATGTGCAATGTTGAAAATTAATGATATTCATTTAAATTGACCTATTATATTGAATTTGGCCCTATGTGAGAATTATAAAGAGGGTTTAGAAAGCACATGATCCTACTAAAAAGATACTAATGGGTGCTCTTAAATGGAGCAATGAACACAATTCCCTTTCTTTCCAAAACTAGCATGACCCCGTTAATGTCTAATGGAAAAACCCACCCTGCTTCCTTGTTACTCTGCATTGAATGAGTCAAAACCAGCCTACTGCATTTCCCCTCTCACTTCAAACAGAGGCAGTTTCAAGCCTTTAATGGGAGAGGATTCCTTTATTATTCCAGACCCTCCTCCATCCTGGATGTGATCACAAGTCACCATCTCACCAAGCAGTGGAGGCAGTGCAGCATCAGCCAAGCCATATCAATTATCAGATGAAGGGAGATATTAAATCTGAGGGGCCAGTGTCTGGGGAAGTGGCCGCAAGCTGCCCTTTCAGTTTAGTTCTGACAGTGCTAATAAGTTTCGTCCCTGAATAGCTGGGACCTCAATCTAAGCGTCCAGTGAGCATTCCCACCTTCTCTTATTCTGCTAGACTAGAAGGGAATGCAACCGCATTAAGCTGAGCAAAATCAAGGATTTACCAACTAACAAGAAATTCAAGGCCCTCCAAACTAGCCAACCCATAGATACCCAGAACAAGACCCACTCGGGTGAAGGAGATGTTTGTACTCTTTGACCCTGTGGAGTTCCCAGCATCCCGCCACTGCCCAGGACTAACCCAGGCATCACCTCCCACCCCTCATACACCACCAGCCCCCCTCCTCTGTCGTCTTCCCTCATCCCCAGTGATGTTTTCATGACACAGCAGTGGAAGGGAGAATTTCTTTTCAAAAGGCCAGAAATTTGGGGGGAATTTGTGTATTCAAAAAATAATTACTGTCAATCGCTTCGCTGTACACGTGAAACTAACACTATAAATTGACTACACTTCAATGAAAAATAAGAATTAAAAATAATAATTACAGTCTCCTGGGTAAAATTAGTAAGATACGATGACTGTGCTCCCAGGGTTCAGAGCCAAGGAGCTCCACTGGGCAAAAGAACCACATAAATAAATCCTATTAGAACCTGCTGGAGAGTCAGGAGCCCAGGGCAAGCCTTCTACACCTGGCCATCGCCGAAATCTCCTTCCTGACCACCATCAAGGGACATTATGAAGAATCGCTAATAACGAGTCCCCCATAAAAAAAAAAAAGTAAATTAGTACAAACTACCACCACAAAAATGCCCACAACCAGCAACTTCCTTCCCGGAGTGGATGCCTCACACAGGAAGCAGAGAGCTGATGAGGCACATTAAAACCATGCCCTTGTATTACATTTACCACCCTGGCTGCAAAAAATGCTCGTAAAGCCATCATTAGCAGACTTGCAGCTGTCAACCCTCCCTCCGCTCCCAGCCGGCTAGACAGTTAGCCATCCTTCTGTGCTGAATGCCCTTTTAATTGCACACCCCACTTTATTAGCTGCCTTGACCTCCCATAAAAGCTTCAGCCTAACAATGTCTGAAACCTGAGACAGGATGTCTACCGTGTCATCAACTTGTAGGCTTCCTGGAGGGCTCCTGCCAAGTGTGCACACACACACACACGTGCACACACAAGCGTGCACACACAGCCCATTAGAAAGACTCCTCCCTAGAAATTTCACAATTACGTGAATAAATTTGGGGGGAAAGAACACGGGGAGAAATAAAGAATACGGTATCTGAGAACATAATCAAGGAAGACACA